TAGAAGAAAAACTGAATTCAAGCCACCCTGAAGCGGGTTGGACTTCATCAGGCTTACTTATTTTTTTTAAGACTTTCACCGCAAGCAAGGTGGAAGTGTCACTAGCACGCAGGATGGGTCACAGAGAGTGAAAGGGAGAGAAACTAGGTATAGGGGTGTGTGTGTGGAAAGGACAAAAGATGAACGGGATTCAAGAAGATGGCGATTGACGTTGCATTTAGTTTTTTTGAGATTGTAGTTATCAGGAAGAAGAAGGGATTTCCACAGGCGGGAAGTGCGAGAAAAGAAACTGCTGAAGTAGAATTATCGGTTATTGCTATGGTTAATAGACTCTCCCACCTAATATAAGTAGGAGTAGTAAGAGAAACGAGGGTCAGTTGATGTCGGACGACCGGCTGATCGGTTGAACTCTCTGCCTTCGGGCGGGGAGGAACCCGAACGAGGCTACGCCGGAGGACGGAGTCTCGTTCGGGTAGGTAAACCGACCCTGAACCCGTTTATAGGGGTTCAAAGGGTATATTTTTGGCCGAGCCCACGGGCTCGGAGATTCCACGTTAAACCGGCCTTGTGCCACATGACACCCTCGTGGGGGTGGGTGACTAAATACTAGTCGAATTCGGACGACAGTAGTCGACAGTTAGTCGAATACGAAAGTAGTCAGCGACCACAACAAGATTACTCTGCGTAATACCTATTATATCAAGTTCCTAACGTTTTGTACGTCGAACCTATTTTAGGACCGATTTAGTACAAATACAGGCCTCCACTGTGAAATAACTCCACAACAGTTATATTTAATTATTTCAAAAATAAGAGGGTGGGACCTACATGCCAATCTAGTATCAAGCTTAAATTCATGTAGTCGGGGCACTAGAGGGAAAAAAAAACTCGTCAGAGCAGTTGCCATGAAAATATTTGTAGAAAAGACAAAGGTAAGCCACGTCACGTCTGTGAGAAAATGCCTGGTGTTGAGATGCCAAGTCAGGATCGATTATATTGCAGATCCTTCTTTTGATTTTGTCGAGAAACTCCAGATGAACAGCAGGAGCACCAGACCAGATATGGCAGCAGTATTCAGCGCACGGGTGAATGGCAGATTTGTAGATGTGTAAGATGGACTTCTGGCACGAAAGAGAGAACCAACTTTCCTGGCAGTAGATGCAGCTATTGATTCAATATAGTTGTTCCACCTCAAGTCAATCGAAAACGTGCCCAAGACACACCCACTGCTGCTACGGCTGCAGTGCGTGTGGTGTCCTTAAAACACTAATGGATTTCGAGACTTACGATCGTGAAGAAAAGATAGTAACGAATGAAATCTACAGATGAGCTATAAAATTAATGGGGAGAGCTTTATCGTTTTTAATTGCCATTTTTTTTTGAGTCCGTAAGGTCAATGGAAACGTACCCAAAGGTCATATCCCCTTTTTGATTTATGTTAACGATTTGTCTAAGAATATTCTCAGATCATTAGTAAGTATTTCTGCAGATGATACCACAGATTATGGGTACGCCTCCAAAAAATATATGGCCAAAGCCTGACATCTGATCTCTTTGCTAAGCTAGCGCTAGTCGTTCATTGGGGGAAAATTGGTTTGTAACATTCAATGCCACAGAAACTAAGCTATTCATAACCGAATAGAAATTTTTTTCCGGTTATACTAAACGGTTTCTCTCCCAAAGAAGCCGCCATCTTTGAACGTGTATTGAATTCCTGAAATTTATAACATTTTTCAGGAGAGACATTTTCTTTTTAATTTCAGAGAAGTAAAAAAAAAAATAAAACGCTAATCCCATCTTCAATGAAGCGATCCAGCCACTCCGTGAAGGCCCCATGAAAGGCGCTTGTCACAACCTCTTTCGTCTTCTGAATGTCTTCAAAGCGACTGCCCCTGGGGTTCTCTTTTCAGCTTGGGGAATTACTAACAGTCTCAGAGAGCAAAGTCTGGACTGTAGAGAGAGTGAGAGACAGTTATGATGCTGAGCTCTCTCATCTCAACATAAAACTTTATTGTATCACGAGCTTCCAAAATTATCGTCACGTCCCGACTGCAAACTCCAAACTAGTCAGCTATGACAAGCTGGGTTTAATAAGGTGTGATCAAAGAGCTGTTACGGTCGTCTACTTCATTATGGAACAACAGAATTTGACAGGTCGTCTTATTCGCTGTATATAGTAATATGATACTTCGTCGGTCGATTCTGGATCAATTTCTACTCTGGTCAACCCTGCCGCTAGTTGTTGAAGTTGGCCGTTCTAGTTTGCACCTCTCTCCGCCCCTAGTTGTGCATTTGGATCACAGAACTGGCAAGGACATATTTGTCGTCAGCAATTGTAGCGTTGGTTCAATTCCCAGCGAAATTATGTCACAAAGAAAAAGAAAAAAAAATGTTATTTGCAGACGAAATAAAAAAAAAAAACAAGAATTTCTTCAAGGTCTATTTTCTATGTAGTTATATCGTTCTTTATACAGAAATATTAACCATTCTCAATTTGAATTCTACCGTGACACTTTGCTCATTTTAGCTGGAACAAGGCTTAAGTTGGGGTTGGTCACTTATATTGAGTTTAATCCAAGACTGACATGGAACTGACGTGTTTAGGAGGCAGTATTTTCCCTGTCTTAAAAACAAAAGTTCTTCGTTGTCTGGCTTTGGAAAATGAATTATCTCTCTAAATTTGGGAGACGACTTTTCCTTAGGTAGTGATCTTAGGTACTGACACGTTCTGATAACTCATTTTCTAACTTTCTGCTTCGTATCATTACTTTCTAATGGGCGTAAATAACTCTTCCGTTTCTCACCTACGCCTTTCACCCCAGCTGTTTCCTCCGGCACCTATCTCCATATTTTGGTACCTCAATCGCACTCATGAACTCTGAGCTGGGTCTTTACATTAAGGAAGTTGCAGGTGAAATAAATCAGAGTTCGACAAAGGTAAAAATCGATTGGTTATAAGGTTGGGTGAATATGACAGGTAAAGTAAAACATACCAACAGATTTCGAAGAAGGTAAAACTCGATTGGTTATATAGTAAGTTTTAATACAATATAGGTCAGGAGATTATTGTTCATTGGTTTTTCTTTATAAGTACGAATGAAGGCCATAGGCTGATTATGAAGGATTGATGCTAGAGCTGTAAAATCTTGCTTGGATTAATTTGAACGTTGCTTATTATTAACTGCATTGTTTCTTTCCAGGAATACTGACATCTGAGTATTAAAAGAAGACTCCAAAAGTAATTAATTGCGACTTCTCTTGAAAATGGACAAAATTTGGCATCGTGATTTTATATACGTGCACAAAAAGGGTTTAGCGCCCAAGGACATCCATCTTGACATGGTTGCTGCATTAGGTGCTGCAACAGTCTAAAAGTGGACACTTGAACTTAGGAGTAGAATGGAGAATCTTAAAGATGCCGAAAGGTCAGGACGGCTTGAGACTGACACCACCGAGGAAAACATTGATCGTGTTCACCACTTAATGATGAAAGACAGGCGATTGACTATAAATCAAATAGCTAATACTATAAGCATACAGTGTGAGAGAGTTGATAATATCTATGGTGTTGGGTTCACAAGGGCCACACCATCAGTTGAGAGTACTATGCCAACTTGCTAAGACATTTACGAGAGACTATCAAGATCAAACGCTCAGGAAAACTGACGAAAGCAGACTTGTTTCAAAAGGACAATGCTCTGGCACACAGTACTTTGGTTTCAATGTCATCTGTGCATGACTGTATCTTTGAACTGGTTGATCACCCTTCCTATAATTTTCATTAGACTATCATCTGTTCCCCAACATAAAAAAAACACTTGGCTGGGGATCAGTATCGCAGTGAAGATGACGTCATATCTGCTGCTGATGATGCCTTTTTTTAACAAACTGTATGAACAGTCTTTTTTGAATACTCCGATGTTAGTTTAGCTGAATAAGGCAGTTATTAATAAGATTTGCAATTAATGCATGAAAGATTTCACAGTTCTAGTATCACTGCCTCATTGTCAGCCTATCAACTTTTCAGCCTACCCAAGTACTGGAAAAGAACATTGCAGTTATTAACAGACAGAGCTGCAATTAATGTATTCAAGATTTCCCAGCTCTACTATCACTGCATCATAGTCAGCCTATGATTATTTCAGCCCACACTCGCACAAATATTTTTCGAAATAATTTTTATTTTTTTAAATAATTTGTGTTTGATTGCATTCAATGTTAGCGTTTTTTAATGGTTCAATTTGCTGTTGATGGACAATATTGCTTGCTGCAAAAAACAAATTAGTACTTATCAATTTTATAAAGTCTGTCTTTTTATCATGAAAATGATTAACATGTGTCTTTTTTTAAATTATACCCATCATTTTTAAATAACTCCTTTTTCAAAAGAATTACTCATTTCCCAAGCCAACATACACGTCCGCAAATATTTTACAAAAATTAAAAGAAAGACCTTCTATTATTTAAAATAAATAAACACATAAATAATTTATCAAATTAAAATAAATTAATAAATGATAATTATATCAAAAGTAAATAAACGAATAAAAAATAAAAATTCAACAACAACAATAACAACATTTACTCACTTTCGTTTATTTCTCATTAAATTATATCACTTAGCGTCCTCCATAGTTTCCATTTAGTCAAACAGTTAGCCTTGAGAATATTTAAGGACATTCTTAAATTTAAACATTTGGAAAACTTAACGCTATTTTTATTCCACACATATCAACTTATTTTTTATGGTTTAGGAACCTTTTGCTGGTTATTGAAATCAAGAATCTATTTTTAGATTGTAATTTCTTTTTTTTTGCGGGGTTGGGTGGGGGGATAATAATAGTTTACTGATACAATTCTACTAATCAACCCAATGCGAAGGGAAGAAGCAACTGATTCATACGTATCGCGCAAGTGAATACAACGAACCCGATCAGAATTGGAACTACGATTTTCCGTTCCGAAGCGGTATCCATTACACCCCCCCCGCATATACAAACTTACAGCACCTGGTATTCCCAAAAGGCTACCCATCTGGGTATTGACAGGCTCGATGTTGCTTAACTTCGGTGGACGTACGGGAAAATGTTTTCAACGTGATATGGCAGTAAACCAGAAATAAATGAAGAATAATTAATCAGTGATTCGAATAGAGTTATCTCCCCTGATATTTTCAAGAAAAATAACTTGAAAGAATACTTGGAAGTAGCCTCCCTTAAATTAACGGTTTCATACATATTTTTCTCGACTTTATTTATGTTTCAGTTCGACATAAAGATCTACCTATTTATAACAATTTATTCATATCTATCTATCTATCTATCTATCTATCTATCTATCTATCTATCTATCTATCTATCTATCTATCTCATTCTCTTAATAATCAAGATCCAATTCATCAGAGGTGCAAATTTGAATTTGTAGGTCTGATGAATTGGATCGTGATTACGATTCCAATGTAATAAATTATAACCATGGAATATTAATGTTTGAGCCTTTTATATTATATTCTTACTCTGTCCTGGACTAACTGGATTCTATCCTCTTGGGAACTTATATATATATATATATATATATATATATACTGACCACTAATATTATCATTATATATATATATATATATATATATATATATATATATATATATGTGTGTGTGTGTGTGTGTGTCGGTGGTGGTGGTGGGGTGAATGCAAAAGGAAAACTTCATTACCAACGTTTCATCCCTGATTTAAACACGTATTTATAAACTGAAGTAAAAAATAAATTAATAATGAAGTAGGGTTTTCAAAATTTTTAATTTGTAATATTTTATTTGTTTATATATATATATATATATATATATATATATATATATATATATATATATATATATATATATATGTGTGTGTGTGTGTGTGTAAAAATATAAAATTGAACATAGAAGTCAACACTTAGAGGCGACAGTCTGTTTCATGCTAGACCCAATCGACACAGCTAAAACAAAATTCATGTTTCCAAGGTTACAGATAAATCTATTTTTCTAGACAGGGGTGTCTAGGTGTTTAATATGTCTATATTTTAATGTATCAGTTATTGCAACTTTTGGTAGTGGGTAGGGATGTATTTTTCAATGAAATCCCTTAAAAGCGTGTTGTCTGTATTTTTTTAAAATTTATATTGTTAACGGCTAAAATTCTTACGGCATTTTTTTTCTTAAATAAAAAGAAAGAACAGTAAGATTTATAATCCGGTGTTCTTATAGATAATTTTATTTTTACAAAATAGTGCTCAATGTAAATTTACAGAGAAAAAAATCCAGACGACATGCATTTAACGGATATTAGATTTCATTGAAAAATACATCCCTACCCTCTCCGAACCGTAGCAAATAACTGATACATCTAAATATAGACATAATGAACGTGCAGACACCCCTAGTCTAGTAAAAGTGGTTTTATATGTAACCTTGGAAACATGAATTATAATTTTAGCTGTGTCTTTAAAACCCAGTAATTTTTAAAAGGCTATTACAAAATTCGCTTGAGGATGAAATGGAACTAATGTCTAATTTACTTACAAAATTAAATTCTAAGCTTTTAGCTTCCATTTTTGAAACATGGTTAGAACTATGTAGCGGAAAAAAACCATATTTTAAATCAATTAATTTATATATATATATATATATATATATATATATATATATATATATATATATATATATATATATATATATATATAATACTAATAATCTTATAAATGTAAGCAGCTATACTCGTCTGGCAAAACCTTAGGTGTTTTAGCTTGTAAATGAAGAATCTAATACCCAAGGGGGAAATAAAGCGTATAAAAAAAAAAGAACCAAGAACATGTACTTCCGGCGAAAAAATAATCGTCTAGAATCTAAGTTCAGAATACAAAGAAAAAAAACCTCCGATATGAGTAAAGTAAAATAACTAAACAAAGTGCTCAATACGCTAAGGTAGACCAAAATAAATAAACCTAGAGAGCCAGACTAATCTACCTAGGTTTCATCCCTAGGTGTTGTAGACTATATATTTTCTGTTCTTATAGCACCTCTTTAGCCAGCCCGCCCTGACGATCCGTTTAGGTGAAACCTAGGTAGGTTACTCTGGCTCTCTAGGTTTATTTACTTACTTAATAGCTGCGACATTTCTCTATTTATTAAACAATTTAATTCATGCCACATCGACTGAAAAAAAACTACTACAACAAAAGAATTCTCTAATTACCATATTAGTAAAAAAAAAAAAAAAAAAAAAGCACTCTCTTTTAAATTTTCCAAAAATTCAACCTTAGCGTTGCGACCGCACGTTCCAGAATTTCTTACAGTTAACAATAACACATTTCTAAAAAAACATATTTCGATTCACAGCTAATGTTTCGTGTCCCGTCATTACCTGGATGGATTTAAAAAAAAAAAAAAAAAACAAATCAAATTCCATGCCTGATGATGTCTGTATGAACAGATGAAAGTACTAGCAAAAAAAAGCCTTATACAAGTTGAATTTATTAAAAAACAGGGATCATAACATTCATCTAGAGGTTCGTGGGTTAATGTAATTTTAATAAATTTGTTTGCAAAGCTGTATTCCTGCCATTTATATCATTAACTTCACTAATCTGGGTTTTTTTTTTATGAATGATTCATGTAATATAAATTGAACTGCACCACATATTTGATATATATATATATATATATATATATGTGGCACCATGCATAGTTAGCGAGCTGAAAAGAAATATTCATAAATATATGATTTGTTTTTTACGGTTTGTCAACCATTTGATAATTATTTAGGGCTGAAAAATATTTCGGGGTTAGAAATAATTCTTTCTTTACATTCAAGCGATCTGGGAGAAAGAAAGAGAAGACAGAAGAAAAAGAAAAAAAAATAATACGAAAACAGGTCGTAAGCGAGAACACACACGCTCGGCTGACACATAACAGATGCCGGAAATTATCCAGGTCAAGCACCTGACCTACTTCCGTGTCAACGAAAAATGGAAGTTTGTTATCAAATGGTTGAAGAAACGAAGTTTAGGGACAATGAAAAATATGATAGGTAACAGGTGGGAAGTGTATCTAAGGATATGAAGACAAACCATTAATACGAAAACACAGACAATTTCCAGAATTGGAAAAAGCCACAAAAGATGATGTTGGCTGAAAATGTTTTTTTGAGATAATGAAAATTTTTATTATCGGGCCTTTGGCCGGGAAAAAGTGAAATATTTTTATTCGTTCACGGAAACGCCAACATGTCTGAGAAATCCCTTTCTTAGGTCATATCCATTTAGCGATAAACTGCTTGACAAATACCACGTGTTAAAAAGCCGAAGGTGTCATCGCAGTCGCTCATGATAACGGCGATTTAAATTTTTGTATTTTTAAGCAAGGTGTTTCTTCCCCCAGAACAAAGCCACGGATTGTCCACGCCCCACTAAAGACGTCATTGGCTAGATGGGATCACATGACACACGAAGGAGGACAAAAGATACCCGACCAGGATGTCATTGGCTAAATAAGATCACATGACACACGAAGGAGGAGGAAAGATACCCGACCAGGACCTCATTGGCCGAAAGCGGTCACATGACATACGAAGAAGCGGGGAAGCGGGTATACGCCCCTCAGAGGCACAATAAGGAGGTGGGAGTGAAAGTGAGTTACCGAAAATGGAAAATCCTTAACCAGAAATAAGAAGGGTGGATACGTATTTAGAATTATCGAAGGAAACCCTGGCGCCGACAGACCCACCCCAGTTTTGACTGCGTCAATAAAAGCGGGACCCCAACCGACAGAAATCAGAGTTGCGCCGCGGACGGCGAGAGAGTTTGAGCGCGGGTGGCGGGCCCGGTTCATTCGCCCCTTTGCGGGCAAGAGAGGCCAGTTCGTTTGGCCTAAGTGAAGAAGTTCGTCCAACCCAAGCCGAAGTGAAGAAGTTCGTCCAACCGAAGCCGAAGTGAAGAAGTTCGTCCAACCGAAGCCGAAGAGAAGAAGTTAATTCGCGCACTGACGGCGGAGATGAGTGAACAGTAATTCAGAAGCCGAAGAGAAGAAGTTAATTCGCGCACTGACGGCGGAGATGTGTGATCAGTAATTCAGACTCTGAAGAGTTTGAGTTGGAGTTTGAGCCGTGGACGACAAGCAGAGATGAGCGCCCAGTGTTGAAACCGCGTCAAGATAGCTGACCAAGATTCACGCACACTTCTGGACTCTTCTTCAACCAAGAACAAGTAGTTTGAAGAGCGACTTAAAATCAGACCACAGAAATAAGTTTTTTTTCGACTTTCGTCCAAGGACACGCCGAAACACAAATTTCTTAGAGAGCAGACAACTGGAAGCCTTAAAGTTGCCTAGTAAATGCGTCGTGCCACAATCCACAGAACGGGTCGGGAAGTAAACATAGTCCTATGTACCGATGTCCTATGTGCTCGCTTACGACCTGTTTTCGTATTAAAAAAAAAAGAAATAAAATAAAAACTCACAAGGTCCAACGTATCAAGAAAAAGGTAACAAACTTTTATGTCTATTTGAGACATAAAAAGTTTGTTACCTTTTTCTTGATACGTTGGACCTTGTGAGTTTTTATTTTATTTCTTTTTTTTATACATAATTGTGTGTTATCACCCCCGTTAGACTCAACTTGCATTACGGCCCCAAGCCCTGTTTGATCTCGTCTGTCTAAGATCAAGTCACAACGTGGGTAGGCAGACCGGAGATCAGTGCAGTTACCCTGGTAACCAGGCGTTGGAAGCGGGTTGGGTACGACGAGGCTGGTATCAATCTAACCAAAGGGTTAGAACGTCACGTTTAGAGCAGCGAGGAGCGAACAGCTGACGCCGCGGCAAAGACGTCACAGTTGGTGCTGTCCGTGACCAGGATATCAGAGCCTGGGGAGCACGTGACGTCACAACTGGTGTCGTGACCATAGGATCAGAACCCTGGACCACGTCACGTCACAATTGGCGCCGCGAACGGGATCGAACGACACAGTCGACGCTGCGACCGGGGGACGACGTCACATATATATATATACTTGGAATTAAGATATCTTTAGCAAATGACCATTTTCATCTACGAATCTTAATTTTAAAATTCGCAGGA